TCCAGCGCTGTCCTACCAGACAGTCTCGTCCCTTCACCTGATGAAGGCCGCTTGTGTTGTGGCCGAAACGTCGTGAGAATATTATTGTGTTATTTTATTTTATCAATTTATTATTTTATTATCATTCTACGTGGTGACTTTACCGAAAGAACCAAAGAAGATATTTTATTTTATTTTACCAATGTAAGTGTTGAGCTACGTAAGGGGCCGTCCATAAATGACGTCACGCGATTTTGGAGGATTTTTGACCCCCCCTCACTCAAATATGACGTCACAAAGCTCTGCCCCCCCCCCCCCCCCCCCCCCCCCCACAAAAACATAAACATGCTTCAAATCGCTTTAAACTATTGTCATTGTTTTTTCGGTAAAGTCACGTATAAATAAGAAATAACATAATAGCGTACGACGTTTCGGTTGCAACACAAGCAGCCATCATCAGGTACAGCTTCAAATCAAGTCTATTGTCATTGTAGTTGCGTATTTAATGTGGCGCTGCACTCTGATGTTGTAGGAGAAAACATTTATTAACAAAGTCTATTTAATTAGGTAGAACGTGACGTCTATATTTATTTAAATTTGCGCAACTTTGATGTGACGTCACATTTCTCAACCCCCCCCCCCCGTCACAAATGTCTGACCCCTCCCCCACCCCTAGGTGCGTGACGTCATTTAGGGACGGCCCCCTAACTCCCTTTCGTCAGAAGCGACCTGTACATCACAAACGACAGCCCAACGAAGTGGCTCGTCACGTGGCAATGTACAGCAGCCAAAATACTCCAAACCGCGTGTTGGTTCTAAATGCGGCGGGGAAAACCCCGGAGAACTTTCCACATCCACCACCGCGGCGGTGGGGGGAGAGGGCGAGACGGAGAGACACCACAAACTCCAAATATATAGCAGCAGCAGCAGCAGGCATCGTCAGGGTAAGGGTTGAAGCCACCACGACCTCCTGCATACCAGGCGAGGTAGTCAACATCTCCTAGTCACTGTGATGAGAGAGAGAGAGACCCCAAACTCCAAATATACAGCAGCAGCAGGCATCGTCAGGGTCAGGGTTGAAGCTACCACGACCTCCTGCACACCAGGCGAGGTAGTCAACATCTCCTAGCCACCGTGATGATGATGAGAGAGAGAGAGAGACACTCAAACTCCAAATGTACAGCAGCAGCAGCAGGCATCGTCAGGGTCAGGGTTGAAGCCACCACGACCTCCTGCACACCAGGCGAGGTAGTCAACATCTCCTAGCCACCGTGATGATGATGAGAGAGAGAGATAGACACTCAAACTCCAAATATACAGCAGCAGCAGGCATCGTCAGGATAAGGGTTGAAGCTACCACGACCTCCTGCACACCAGGCGAGGTAGTCAACATCTCCTAGTCACTGTGATGAGAGAGAGACTCAAACTCCAAATCTACAGCAGCAGCAGCAGGCATCGTCAGGGTCAGGGTTGAAGCCACCACGACCTCCTGCACACCAGGCGAGGTAGTCAACATCTCCTAGTCACTGTGATGATGATGAGAGAGAGAGACACTCAAACTCCAAATATACAGCAGCAGCAGGCATCCTCAGGGTAAGGGTTGAAGCTACCACAACCTCCTGCACACCAGGCGAGGTAGTCAACATCTGCTAGCCACCGTGATGATGATGAGAGAGAGAGAGAGACACTCAAACTCCAAATCTACAGCAGCAGCAGCAGGCATCGTCAGGGTAAGGGTTGAAGCCACCACGACCTCCTGCACACCAGGCCAGGTAGTCAACATCTCCTAGTCATCACCATGATGATGATGAGAGAGAGAGAGAGACACTCAAACTACAAATATACAGCAGCAGCAGCAGCAGGCATCGTCATGGTCAGGGTTGAAGCTACCACGACCTCCTGCACACCAGGCGAGGTAGTTAACATCTCCTAGTCACTGTGATGAGAGAGACACTCAAACTCCAAATATACAGCATCAGCAGGCATCGTCAGGGTCAGTGTCGAAGCCACCACGACCTCCTGCACACCAGGCGAGGTAGTCAACATCTCTCCGACGTGGCGCCAGCCGTGTGCATGTTTCCCAGGCCCCCACCACGCACCGTACCCCCCCCCCCACCACCACCCCCTAGGGCCCCTCCCCCACCCCCTTGACGCCACGTGCCAGAGCGTGACTCACAATGGGGGCGAGATAACCAATCAGAACGCGCGCTGGGCCGCGTGGCCTAGCGCGTGGACTGCAGCCAATCAGCGAGCTGGCAAATGACATTCAGGAACGACAACCGCCATTCGCCAGTACGTGTCGGTGACGTCACCACGGCGCTTTGTGCCAGGATAGGTGCACGTTGAGGCCACGTGAAGTATCGAACGCCCGCTGGCAGGAGGTCACGGGGCAGACCCAGGTGCCACGGGTCGACTGACTGAGATGACTGGCTGATGCACCACCTGTGCCCCCTACTGTGCCAACCTGCATGTGCTTTAGCCACCCGGCGCTCCGCTCGTTGTTTTGAGCATCGCTCCTCCGCCCTCCGTTGTTGTTGGAGGGCGACTGCCTCCAACTGCCCAGTAGCATCCTTCACGAGCCTCCTCCACAGAGGCCGATCTTGACACCGCTGGTACCAGTCATCGGCAAGTCCACTCAGCTCCACGTCCTCCTGTACCACATCACTCCATCTCTTCTCTAGCCCGTGCCGCGCCCGCTTAGCCCCCTCAATCCGGCCGAACAAAAGCTGTTTCGGCATGCGGTGGCTGGGCATGCGGGCTACATGACCCAGCCAACGCAGCCTTGCCTGCCGGAGGAGCTCACCGATGGGACAAGGATGACGCACGCACAAAGTCAAAGCAAAGCTCCCCCGCATAGCCTCAACATACTGTAGGGGCAAGTGCTGTTAGCGAGCACCTATGAAGGCCGGAACGGTACACTAAGGGGTGGGTGGCCAGCATCACGCCCGGCCGCCTTTGTCTCCCTAGTGGCAATGTTTACACACCGCACCAGGTACTCATTTAAGGCTGAGTCGACCTAGGGGAGGCCCGGGACCGGTTCGGATAATCGTCACCGACGGTGGCCGTGAGCGAGAATCGAACCCGGGTCGCCGGGTTCATAGCGCAGCGTAGCGCTAACCACTACACTACACAGATACACACACAGACACACACACGCACAAGGACAACGTAAAATATTTGTTTTTTATTTATTTTATAACGCGATCGATGGGAGGTTCGTAAACTTCCGAAAGCAACGCTTGGGGCGGTTCCAAGAGAAGCAAACAGCCGTGCAATCGATGAACCCCCCCCCCCCCGCCCAGTTCCATGAATGACCCCCCCCAGTTCCATGTATGACCCCCCCCAGTTCCATGTATGACCCCCCCAGTTCCATGTATGACCCCCCCCAGTTCGATGTATGACCCCCCCCAGTTCCATGTATGACCCCCCCCCAGTTCCATGTATGACCCCCCCCAGTTCCATGTATGACCACCCCCCCCCCCAGTTCGATGAATGAAAGACCGCCCCAGTTTGGGTGTAAAACAATCTCCAAGGAAGCAAGTCTCAGGACAGGAGAAGTCTCGCACTGTGTCGGAACCTCCTGGTGACACCACCACCAGCCCACAGGGGATTATTATTATTGTTGTGTTCGTCCGTCCGTCGTGCATCCAACAATGGGTGGGGAGGGGAGGGTGGGGGGGGGTGGGGAGGGAGGGGAGGGGCTGGGTGGGGAGGGGCTGGTCACCCCGTGGTGCCCCCCTTATAAAACTCAACGTTTCACCTACTCACGCCGGCTTGTGCCCGCCCTCACAGTGGGCCATATTGTTGCTGAACACACCACGTGGTGGTGCCACCGTTGTTGTTGTTGTTGTTGACCCTGGCCACTGACCGAGCAACCCAACGTTCCTACCAGCTCCCTTACGCAGGAGAATGTGATTTTTGTTTTATTTTACTCGGCAGGACAAACCCCCAACGGAAGAACACGCAAGCGAAAGTCCCCCCCCACACACCCCCACACACACACCCCCTGTGAAGGAAATAAACCCAACGGGAAATTTATATTTTGATATTTTTGACCTTGGGCAAAGGCCCCCAGCACCATCACACGCGAAGTGGGCTCCCGTCGTCATTCTAGAGTCGCCGTTTCCGTGGCTGCGGCGATCCACACTCCTCGATCCTTTCGGGGGAAAGTCATCGCGTCGCAGGCAGCGAATGGAATGAAATGTTATCGCGACGGGCGCTTTGTGCCCGGCGCCCCGGAACGACGTCGCGATTTCATCGGTTTTATAGTTTATACCTCCGTGATGACTTCACCCAAAGAACCAATGGGCATGGATCCTCCTCATCCTCATCATCATAATCATGTTCTTGGTGCTTTCGGTAAAGTCACCACCACGTTAGAAGGGGAAACAATACAATAATAAAATTATTGTGAAACAATAAAATTATTGTAAAACAATAAAATTGTTTATTCTTGGTTCGATGGGTAAAGTCACCACCACGTTAGAAGGGGAAACAATAAAAATTATAAAGCAATTAAATTCTCACGACGTTTCGACTGCAACGCAAGCAGCAATCGTCATCAGGTGTGAAAACCACAGCAAGAACATTTTAAAAAAGTGGCGGTGTTTTTTTTACGTTAGCACCACGGAGAGCGATTTGGCTGCTATTAACGTAAAAAAAACACCGCCACTTTTTTCAAAGTTTCTTGCTGTGGTTTTCACACCTGATGACGATTGCTGCTTGTGTTGCAGTCGAAACGTCGTGAGAATTTCATTGTTATATATTTTTATTATTTTATTGTTTACCCTTCTACGTGGTGGCGACTTTACCGAAAGAACCAAGAATATGAATCCCTGCAGTCACGAAAGCTTTAAATCAAAATCATCATCATCGCGTGGACATCGCAGCAGCAGCAAAAATGATCTCACGATGTCGATTCTCAATGTGCGTCTCTCCCTCCCCCTCTCCCTCCCCCCTCTCTCTCCCCCCCCCTCTCCCTCCCCCCTCTCTCTCCCCCCCCTCTCCCTCCCCCTCTCTCTCTCCCCCCTCTCTCTCTCCTCCTTTCTCCCCGTGGCCGCGAAGATTTTTCTCCGGGTCCCTCCGGATTTTCCCTCCGACGTCGTCCGCTCGGGGTAATCCGCTGCCGCTCGTCATTGCCGCACTGCTATGATGACGACGATGACGACGATGACGACGACGATGATGACGACGACAATGACGACGGTGATGACGACGATGATGACGACGATGACGACAATGATGACGATGATGATGATGACGACGATGACGACGGCGACGATGATGACGACGATGATGACGATGATCCCACGTCGTTGAGGATATCGTTTGCGATGGCCACGTGGCTTACGAAAAGAGTGATGGCAGAGAGCTAAACGGGCCTTGCACGCTCAAAATTTAAAAATTCGTAGTTAGTCAAAATAGCAGAGAATGCGTGTGTGCGCGTGTGTGCGTGTGTGTGTGTGCGTGTGTGTGTGCCTGTGTGTGTGTGCGTGTGTGTGCGTGTGTACGTGTGTGTGTGTGTGGCCACAAGGTGCACATGGCCTGGCACAAGCGTCGTGGTGACGTCACCGCCACTTAGTGGCGAATGGCGGTTGTTGTTGTTGTGTTAGTGTGTGAGTGTGTGTCTGTGTGTGTGTGTGTCTGTGCGTGTCTGTGTGTATGTTGAAAAGCGTGATGGCTCATGCGGATTTCTTGCTGCGATGGTTTTTCCATCGCACGGCCATCATGAAGAGCCCTGCGACACAAACACACACACACGACGTGAAACACAACACGGGCGAGTGACACAACAAACACAACACGGGCGAGTGACACAACAAACACAACACGGGCGAGTGACACAACAAACACAACACGGGCGAGTGACACAACAAACACAACACGGGCGAGTGACACAACACAACACGGGCGAGTGACACAACAAACACAACATGGGCGAGTGACACAACAAACACAACACGGGCGAGTGACACAACACAACACGGGCGAGTGACACAACAAACACAACACGGGCGAGTGACACAACAAACACAACACGGGCGAGTGACACAACAAACACAACACGGGCGAGTGACAATGTGCGCTAGGAGATGTTGACTACCTCGCCTGGTATACAGGAGGTCGTGGGTTCGATCACCGACCACTGACAATGCCTGCTGCTGAATATTTGGTGCTTGCGTGTCTCTCTCTCTCTCATCATCATCATCATCACGATGGCTATGAGATGTTAACTACCTCGCCTGGTATGCAGGAGGTCGTGGGTTCGATCACCGACCACTGACGATGCCTGCTGCTGCTGCTGCTGTATATTTGGTGCTTGTGCGTCTCTCTCTCTCCCTCTCTCTCCCTCTCCCCGTGGCCGCGGGGATTTTAACTCCGGGCCATCCACGTTGTTTTTCTCATCACCGTCCAACATTCAGAATGAGCGTCGCGCGTTTTAAAGCATTTGTCTGCTCCATGTAAGCACAAACGATGATCGTGGTGAGCCACTCTTTGAGGGAGTCACTGGCGATCGCGAGGCTGCTTCTGAAAAAGAGCTGTACCAGCTCGGTGGGGAGAGGGGGGCGGGCCTTACCGAGTAACATAATAAATAAAAACACAATTAAAAAAAGACGCCTTTCGTTTTTAAGGAATTTTGCTGCTGCTATGAATTCCCCTACGACAGTGACGATGACGACGATGATGACGATGGCGATGATGAAGATGATGACGACGATGATGACGATGATGACAAGCAACTTCGTCAAGGCTGCTATCGTTTGTGATGGGCCACGTCGCTTGTGAACACGAACTACTCCATGGCTCAGTGTGGCCCTGAACCTGGTAAAATTAAATAAAGTTAACTACTATTCTGTTTGTCTTGGCGTGTGTGTCTCGCTCGGTGTGTCTGTGTGTCTCTCTGCGTGTGTGTCTCTCTCTGTGTGTCTCTGTGTGTGTGTCTCTGCATGTGTGTCTCTCTCTGTGTGTGTGTCTCTCTCTGCATGTGTCTCTCTCTGTGTGTGTCTCTCTCTGTGTGTGTCTCTCTCTGTGTGTGTCTCTCTCTGCGTGTGTGTCTCTCTCTGTGTCTGTGTGTCTCTCTCTGCGTGTGTGTCTCTCTGCGTGTGTCTCTCTCTCTGCATGTGTCTCTCTCTCTCTGCATGTGTCTCTCTCTGCGTGTGTGTCTCTCTGTGTCTGTGTGTCTCTCTCTGTGTGTCTCTCTGTGTGTCTCTCTCTGTGTGTGTGTCTCTCTCTGCGTGTGTGTGTCTCTCTGTGTCTGTGTGTCTCTCTCTGCGTGTGTGTCTCTGTGTGTGTGTGTCTCTCTGTGTGTGTGTGTCTCTCTCTGCGTGTGTGTGTCTCTCTGTGTCTGTGTGTCTCTCTCTGCGTGTGTCTCTCTCTCTGCGTGTCTCTCTCTGCATGTGTGTGTCTCTCTGTGTGTGTCTCTCTGTGTGTGTCTCTCTCTCTCTCTCTGCGTGTGTGTGTCTCTCTCTACGTGTGTGTCTCTCTCAGCGTGTGTGTGTCTCTCTCTGCGTGTGTGTCTCTCTCTACGTGTGTCTCTCTCTGCGTGTGTCTCTCTCTACGTGTGTCTCTCTCTGTGTGTGTCTCTCTCTGCATGTGTCTCTCTCTGCATGTGTGTCTCTCTGCATGAGGGGCTGGGTGGGGAGGGTGGGGAGGGGCTGGGTGGGGAGGGAAGGGTGGATAGTGTAGTGTATAGTTTAGTGTATGATGTAGTGTATAGTGTAGTGTATAGTAGTGTATAGTGTAGTGGATAGTGTAGTGTATAGTGTAGCGTATAGTGTAGTGTATATTGTAGTGTATAGTGTAGTGTATAGTAGTATATAGTGTAGTGTATAGTAGTATATAGTGTAGTGTATAGTGTAGTGTATAGTTTAGTGTATGATGTAGTGTATAGTGTAGTGTATAGTAGTGTATAGTGTAGTGGATAATGTAGTGTATAGTGTAGAGTATAGTGTAGTGTATAGTAGTGTATAGTGTAGTGTATAGTGTAGTGTATAGTGTAGTGTATAGTATAGTGTATAGTGTAGTGTATAGTGTAGTGTATAGTGTAGTGTATAGTGTAGTGTAGTATATAGTGTAGTGTATAGTGTAGTGTATAGTGTAGCGCACTAGTAGAGCACTAACCGGTCGTGTGGTTGGGGACTAAACCCACAACAACGTTTACAGTTCGAGTAGCCGTGACGTTCCGCCGGTAATTACAACAACAGCCACAACCAGCAGCATCGTCAGGCAACAGCCACAGAGCTACGGAGAAATCCTCATCCTGCTTGGCTTTTAAAGAGGGCTAACATTTATGTATTTTTATTTATTTTCATTTTGACCGAGTAAGGCCACCCCTGAGCTCCGTGGATCATGAACCGACCTGGTCACATGGCGCGGAAACTCAACGAATGGGGCGGTTCTCGTCATCATCATCGTCATCATCATCGTCATCATCGTCATCATCATCATCGTCATCATCATCATCGTCATCATCATCATCATCGTCATCATCATCATCGTCATCGTCATCATCATCATCGTCATCGTCATCATCATCATCATCGTCATCATCATCGTCATCATCATCATCATCGTCATCATCATCGTCATCGTCGTCGTCATCACGCGGGAAAGCTTCCAGCGGCAACGGAACAGCTCGGTAAAACGCGTGGCGATGTTGATTTTTAGAACAAAGCCGGAGGACTCGTGACGATGAATCCACGCGACCACGGGGAGAGAGCGAGAGAGCGAGAGAGAACGCCGGAAACTCCAAATCTGAACTCTTTAAAAGCCGCTGTTATTCTTCTTATTATTCTAGCAGGCAAGGCATCACGGATCTACTGCAGAGCTGTTCGTCAGCATTCAATGTGGAAAAGAGGAGAGAGAGAGACAGACAGAGAGAGAGACAGAGAGAGAGACAGACAGAGAGAGACAGACATACAGAGAGAGAGACAGAGAGAGACAGACAGAGAGAGACAGAGACAGACAGAGAGAGACAGAGAGAGAGAGAGACACCGCAGACTCCAAATATACAGCCGGCTTCGGGGTTGGGATCGCTCACGTACCACACATGCACCGCTCACGTACCACACACGTACCACACACGTACCACAAACGTACCACACAAGTACCACACACGTACTACACAAGTACTACACACGTACCACACACGTACCAGACACGTACCGCACACGTACCGCACACGTACCGCACACGTACCACACAAGTACTACACACGTACCACACAAGTACCGCACACGTACCGCACACGTACCACACACGTACCACACACGTACCGCACACGTACCGCACACGTACCGCACAAGTACTACACACGTACCACACAAGTACCACACACGTACCGCACAAGTAGCGCACACGTACCACACAAGTACCACACACGTACCACACAAGTACTACACACGTACCACACAAGTACCACACACGTACCGCACAAGTAGCGCACACGTACCGCACACGTACCGCACACGTACCGCTCAAGTACCACACAAGTACCGCACACGTACCACACACGTACCACACACGTACCACACACGTACCACTCACGTAACACACACGTACCACTCACGTACCGCACACGTACCACACACGTACCACACACGTACCAATCACGTACCACACACGTACCACACACGTACCACACAAGTACTACACACGTACCGCACACGTACCGCACACGTACCGCACACGTACCACACACGTACCGCACAAGTTCCTGGGGGTCGGAGATTGGATCACCGTTTTTTCCCCAACACACACACCAACAACAACCGCCATTCGCCACTAAGTGGCGGTGACGTCACCACGACGCTTGTGCCAGGCTATGTGCACCCTGAGGCCACGTGAAGTGTCGAACGCCCGCCGGCAGGAGGTCACTGGGCAGACCCAGGTGCCACGGGTCGACTGACTGAGATGACTGGCTGATGCACCACCTGTGCCCCCTACTGTGCCAATCTGCTGTGCTTTAGCCACCCGGCGTTCCGCTCGTTGTTGTGAGCGTCGCTCCTCCGCCCTCCGTTGTTGTTGGAGGGCGACTGCCTCCAACTGCCCTGTAGCATCCTTCACGAGCCTCCTCCACAGAGGCCGATCTTGACACCGCTGGTACCAGTCATCGGCAAGTCCACTCAGCTCCACGTCCTCCTGTACCACATCACTCCATCTCTTCTCTAGCCCGTGCCGCGCCCGCTTAGCCCCCTCAATCCGGCCAAACAAAAGCTGTTTCGGCATGCGGTGGCTGGGCATGCGGGCTACATGACCCAGCCATCGCAGCCTTGCCTGCCGGAGGAGCTCACCGATGGGACCTTGCCCAGATCTTTCAAGGATTTGTGAGCTCCTCACACAATCCAGTCTGGTTAAACCCAGGATGGATCGTAGGCAGGCCAGCCTAAATGTTTCTAACCGGCGAAGATGTTCCACCAGGGGGGTCCACGTTTCGCAAGCGTAGAGAAGGGAGGGAATGACCGTGGCCGAGAAGACCTGAAGCTTAGTGCGGAGCGACAGACCAGGTAGCTTCCACACAGCGTTACGCAACCGATGAAAAGATATTGCCGCTCGACTGATTCGGAGTGAGACCTCTGCTGTTAAACTGGAGCCAGTCATAAGCACACTGCCCAGGTATGGGAAACTCTCCACTCTCTCCACAACTGCCCCATCACCGATTGGGAGTTGTGGGGGTGGAGTGTCCGATGGTACAAAATACCCAGGCAGGTGCTTAGTTTTGGTGGGGCTGATGGTAAG